GCACTTGAACGTCTCGAGTGTGAACCTTCCACCAAAGATGTCCATACCTCCGTCCGTCCGTCAGTCCATCCCTTCCCCCTGCCTCCCCGCCTCCTTCTCCTCCTATGTCTCTCTCGACCTCTCCACCCCTCTCACCCCACCCCACCCCGCCCCACTTCGCACCGTCTGTCCGTTTGTCCATGGGCAAAACTACTTGCCATGGCGATTCCCACAATTCCCAGTTCACAGACCTCGGCAGTCGTGGTAGCGAAGACGCATCCATCTACTTCGCAGAGTACATGCCTCGTTCAGCACACTCAACAGATGCTCTGCTCACATTCCCACTTGTCGCACCACAAAATTACATAGCCGAAGTACGGTTGTCAATTTGCATCTGAGTCAAACTCCACTAGCGAACGTATCGGATGGCCACAGTGACACCTTGCTCTAATCGTGCCTTTCACACCTCCTGCAATAATAGTTCTAAGCCCTAAGATGTTGTTGGGAGCATTTCCTAGGAACGTAACTCGTCGAACAAGTTGTAGCGAAACTTACTGAAACTATAAAAGATGTTAATTTAACCACATTGGTATACGGAGTGGCACGCAATCTGCTGTGATAAAAAGGCAATAAGAAGATTCGCATCCTATATTGACAATAGGTCAACATATAAAAACGACGGCTAAAATGGAAACGCCGACATCACACTACATTTAGAGCTTCAACCTCCATCTTATTTTTGGTAATTGCCATAAGTTGCCATCCTCGTTAAAATTTGTTAACAAAATCTAAAATTTTGATAAATATCCGCAATACACGACAGTGGACGAGTCTAGAAGGGGCAGGGAGGATCTATACGGATTCAAATTGGATAAATTGTGTAAGTAGGTTAGACTTGATGTAGCCAGGAAGGATACACCAGCGAGGAACCTTTCAACGAGCGTCTTGTTAAAAGGCAACAAATAAAGTTCAATCCAAAAAGCAGGAATAAAGACCTTATTCCCAACCCTTTATAGCCACTCACCACTCGTAGGGCATCAAAGATACACAGCCAGAAGAGGAGTAGAAAGGCGTAAAAGGAGACTTGAAAAAAGCCGTCCAGAGCCTGTGGAATCCAACCTGGCAGAAGATATACCAGTGGGTGGAGCGGATCTACAACAAGCGATTACCTCACTTAGTGGAGTACTTGGAATTTTAATAACAAGGAGGGAGGATGCTGTACAAGCGAAACCATTCAAGTCGAACTCACTGTAGAAGAAAAGAAGGAGAACTAGGAGCACTACAGTCCACTTCTGTTCAGCAGTCCAATATTTCCATTCGAAGGATCGCATAGATAAGCAGAAGCCAGCCTGAAGAGTTGGGAAATAAGATGCGAAAAGTCACTGGTACAAATGCTAAAAAATACAATTCGACTCAATTCACTTTCAACACAAGGAAAAAGGAATACGCAAGAGTTGTTCGTAAATTTAGATTTGGAAACAAATGGTGACTCACCTTTGACTTGGACACAAATAATCTCAATAAAGTACCCCAGCAACAACATAATAATCAAGCACTTAGAATAACGCCTACGCTTGATAAATATTCCAGTAGTCCCATTTACAAATTCAAACAAATTCCATTGCAACAACTACGAATAAATGAGATCAACCGGACTACATCAAAAACAACAATAAAAGTGGCAGAAGTTCAGTAGCACTGACCATCGAATGAAGCTAAATGCATCATGCATAATTAATGAACGGGTTTACTTACAGTCGTCGTCAATACAGGCATTAAATTCATCGAAGCGTGACTGAATTGCATCTTAAAAGTTTCCATAAAGTAAAATCGGATTCGAAATTTAGTTTCTAACACCTCTCTCATTCTTTGTACAAATTCCAAAAGGCTGTAAAAATTGTACCGGGAAATACGCGAACTCTTCAACCGTTTAATGGAGGTGTGTTTTAGAAATTGTAAAGTCGTGAACGAATAGCAAAATTAAAGAAAATTTTAAACCGCAGGTCGAAATCCGAAGCCTCAGGTGTCAGATTACAAAGGCAGCACAAAAGTAACCCTAGAGGCTCTGAGAGCGCAGCACTCTAACCCATTTCTAAGAGCAATAAATCAAAGATACTTACTAGCCTGCACAACGCTGATATGCTGACTCAGATTCTGCCGAAATTCTGGAATGTAGCTAGTTCTCTTGAGCTAAGGCAATCCCAAACGCCCTTGACTATGTCACAACCATTTTTTGGGCACAATCCCATGTAAAGAAGCAATATAAACTCGTTACAAACAAGTCAAGTATACGGGCAATACCAACGTCGGGTATCGACGACGACGACGCTATCTTCATGCTACACATATATTTGTTTGGCTGACTTCATGTGGTGCAAGTAGGGAAGTATTTTTGAATAAAATCACAAAGCATATTTGAGTACCCATGTACGGACTCATAAAACCTCGAGATCGTCAATCGACAAAAAAGGTTTTTATTTGGCACAAGACGACCAAATTAAAAACTACCAAAGTACCAGGCTTAAACTCCATACTTAAGAAACCATTTCTGCGTCGAGTTGCAAGCGAGAAGGGACTCATTCAAAAAATGAAACAAAGTTAGCCTCAGAAGTAGCGTACCGACTCACCAACAATCCAAAAGCCGCCAGAAAAGCCACAAATCGCGAAAGTAGCTCAAAGTAACTAAACGTGGTATTGTGCGTCTGCGTGATGAACTCAATCTCCGTGATTTCAAAGGTAGGAATATGAGGTTTCACAGCCCCAGCCTCCTCAGCCCTCAACTCCGACGAGGCCTCCTGAAGCTCGTCTGCATTATGGGCCACGCTACCGGCGTCCCCCAGTTTTCCAATGTTTTGAGGGTGAAGACCAAAGAATCTCACTTTGAAAGTGTAAGCCGCGCAGTTCAATGAAGCAAGATGAATTAAGTGTAGTTCTTTGCAGGCCTATGAAAAATTATGGCATTTTAATGCAAAATTAATTCCAAACTGCGTGAGATAAAAGGAAGCCCAGTAACGCCCAGAAATGGGTGGTTAAAGAAAACAATAAATAAAGTGGAGAATCACTTCATCTTGCCTTAGTATTTGAAAACGAAGCGCAACACCAGTGGGGTTAGAAAAATGCTTGTGATTCTGGGAAAAGGTGAAATTGCTATTTTGGACGATTATCATTAATACCATTAGTACTATTTTTGTCATTACAATAAACAGCCAGATAATGTCGTTAAAAGTGAACCAAACTCTTTGACCACAAAACCATCTGTGATGAATATATCCACTGTGCCCCATTCCTTAGCCGATATGAAAATAATAGAAGGGTTATCAGCGATCGCGGTACCAATGAAAACAAAAAGTGTTAAGCCCAAGAAGGTCGGTCATTATAGCGTGATTTGATC